GGGATGATTTCCAACATGCCCGAAGACCATTACTTCATCTTCTCGGATAGTCTCAGTTAGATTGAGGCTATTCGGTCGATGAAACAAAGTAGGCACTCATCTTATTTCCTTTCAAAGGGAGCAGATGAGTTTGCTGGTCGAAAGATCATATATGATTACCTTTGTATGGGTCCCCTCACATTGCTCAATCCCAGGCAATGAGAAGGCGGACTCTCTCGCAAAGGTGGGCGCGCAGGAAGGCGAATTTTATGACAGGGAAATTTCACACGATGAATTTTACCATTTAGTGCGTCAGTGTACCCTTTCGAGTTTTCAAACCGATTGGGACAATGGAAATCTTGGACGGTGGTTACATTCAATTATTCCTAATGTTTCTTCGAGAGCGTGGTTTAAAGGCTTGGACTTAAGTCGTGACTTCACTCGCGTGATGAGTAGACTTATGTCCAACCCCTACTCGCTAGATGCTCATCTCAATAGAATAAACCTCGTGAACAGCAACATCTGTCGGTGTGGAAACGGTTACGATAACATCGCCCGAAAAAAAAAATTACAGTGAAATTTTCAGTGGAAACAATGCTCTAACATTAATATTTATTGTCGACAGTAAAAATGATTGTTATAATGTTGTACCCTTCCGAAAACGGCAAAAGTGCTACCTAGATGTACAATGAAGGTACATAATAAAATGTTGTTACAATGATTTTTATCGTATTTTTCATTTATTTTATTGTTAACATGATTCGATCATGAACAATAATGAACAACTATATTACAATAAAAATTGTTGTTACATTAAATATTGATGTGTTTTCATTGTAGGTTACGTCACGAACAATACAAATAAATCTAATTGAAGCATGCAGACTATGAGAGGGTCAGCAACACTGCCAATGTAATCAAGATAGACGCTGCCCGTACGGCTCTGGCTTTGACGGTTCGTTTGGCTGACCGATATCGGACTTGCTCTATTCGTTGCCAAGTCAACGACCAGATCGGGTTGAGTTGAATTCAACTCACCTGCCTCATCTAAATCCCGCTTAATGCAGACCTTTTCCATGCAGTCAATAATCATACAATAATAATTAAAAAAAAATCCACCACTTGAAGATGTCAGGAAGGAATTCTCAGGTGGAAGCATACTTCATGGGCGATTCTCTCCAGTCGAATGTATTAACTTATCAACGACGCTCAACCACCAAGGAGGCGTGATCTAGGGAGATCGAGTGCAGGGGAGTTGGCCTGAATTTCTCACAAGTTCCGGATCGAATCTCAATCCAAAACCAGTAAAAAAGGACTCACCCGTAACAGACATACTACCCCCCTTCCCTTCCCGGGGCGATGTTTTATTTTTTCTATTTATTTTTAAAGTCGATAAAGTAGATCTGTCAAGCCAACACATACACTCTAGTTTACACTGTTATTTTTTATCAATAAATTCGCCAACCAACAGTAAAATAACAATAATATATAATGTTATTGAAAAAAAAATATATGGGGAAATCTCGAAAATTTCATTGTTAAGATACTTAACAACCCCCCTTTTTTATTGTAAATTTTCCATTTACCATGAAATTTTCTGTTATGTACAACATAAATCAAGGTAAAATTATTGTAGACGTAACAATATAAATCATTGTTGAGACAATAATTTTCGTCTTATTGTTACATTGTTTTTTAATGTATTTTTGTTGTTATTTTTTTCGGGCGATCACGCAATCTGGCAATGTACGGATAATGACGCCGACAGAGAGCGACTTTTGAATACCCTTGAGGCCCAAGGAAGACAACCCTATGTTCCTATCAGAGACGTTTTGGGAACTCGTGATATCTGCTATTATGCAGTCGGTTTATGTGTTTCTTCAAAATTTGATAATGTCTAGTATAAGAATTTAATTTCTTTGTCTTTTGTCTCTCGATCCCTCCCCTTGGCTAGTTTTTGCACCTTGCTGTTGGTGGGCGGGCTTAATTTCATGCTTTATAGTGGAGTGTTGGAGACGGTAGGTTTATGGTCGGCGTTGCTGGCTCATGCCGCGATAGAATGGCGACATGGGCAGGCGATGGGGATTACTAAGCTTCCCCTCTCTGATAAACCGCTGCATGAGAGAACCAAAGATCTAGTCTAGCAGTGATAGTATCACACTTGTTACTCTTTTTATTGAGAGCCGCGTCGTAGTACGCTTACGTATAGGCACTGACGTTGGGTGTGATACTGGCGGGTTTTGCCGCAAATCACTCTTATTTTATTTATTTTTTACGCAGATAGATTTATTTGGGTTTGCAAGGGAATTATATTATTGAAATATTTCAGAAAGTGCCCAACAGTGCTCCTTCTATTTGCGTGACAAGCTTTCATTGTTGTTTTCATTGAATTATTACTCAGGAAACAATGTTAAACATCATTTTTGTACATGGTATTGTAACTAATCTTATATGTGCTTCATTTTGATTTGGGATAAGTGTTTGAACTATGGCTCGGGATTTCCACTGTGGTGTGCTTCTATTGTGACATACCCATATGTATTTTTGTGGTGCCACATAGTGGAAACGTGAGAGCGTAGTTGGAACATTTACCCTATACAATATACAATTTAAAATTAGCTTGGAAACTAACTTCAAAGTGAAGCATTTTAGTCACTTGAAGGTGTCATCTGGGACGAACAAAGATATAAGATAAGATATGTAAAAGCCTTGAAACACGTTAAATTGTAGTTTAAAAGCATGGGTTATGTAGGTAGATTAGAGATTTCAGTTATTTATTAAATAAACTTCAATTATAGAATTCAGAAAGTTAATTAACATAAGAGATAGAACGCGGGGGGTCCGCTTAGGGAGGCGACTAGCCAATGAAGTTGTATAATAAATCTTCCTATTTAGTGTATTTGTTAATTACAGACAATGTCAATAGCGAAAGTCATATCTACAACCAGGCGCTTACGAACAAGTGAAATTTTAGGAAAGATGTGTTAAATATGTTGATAGGTTTGAAATAAGAATTAGGATTGTTGTGCTTTAGTTTTCGGTAAGGTATGATGTGTCAACAAAGCCCTTTTGAGCAAATTTTCAAACATCAAATTGATTGAGTGATTTATTGAAAGACATTGCGTTGCGAAAATTGACAAGTCATACATCTAACATAGTAGTAGTAGCAGTGTCGCATAATCTTATAACAATTGCTGCAAATAGTGCTTGAGTGCCAGCAGGGCTGAATACGGATCAAAACTAACATAACTACTAACACTAAAATGATCCCGGAACTAACACTTATCCATTGCACTTTTGGTTATTTATTAGTTTTATTTTTCTACTAAGTCATCTATGCTTCTTTCTATTGTTTGGATCAAGTACAACTAATACTAATCTACCTTTATGTATGTTTTACTCCCTTTTAACCCATTATCTTTATGAATGGCGAATCATATGACGTGAGACACGTACAAGCTGGAACTCAAAGAATTACTTCGAACAGGATGTCAAACAAATTCAGGACCAATCCAAATGAGACCAGAAACCAACAAAGCATCGGGGAGTTATATATTCTGGGAGAGGTATTTGATAAATAATCAAAAAGTGGTAAGTTAAAATCAGAGCCAAGGATCATGAGAGGTAATTGTGAATAATTCATTAATTAGTAGAAATCTCGATAACTTTTTCAAGGGAGCGTATCGGTTTTTGTAGGCGGTGCGTTTGGTCGTCGATTTGGCGTAACTGGTGGCTTGCTCGCGCGTGCTGGCACTATCATCAGATAGGGGAAATTTTCCTCTACCTGCTGGTGGTGTTGATAAGCGTGTGCGAGATGCCGGTTGCGCCGGATCGACGATCGGATGCATTGTTTGCAGGAGCTGGTGCTTCCCTTTGAAAAAGTAATCGAGAAATAACCATATTATCCTGTAATTGATATTACTATTTTTATATATCAATGAAATTAGTCATGACAGAGTAACAGATGGGGAAGGACAATAGACACAAGTTGACACAATAAACAAGACAAGTGGGGGTTAATACACAAGACAAAATGACAAAATAAGTGACGACAGAAGACAAGACTGGGACGAAAATCAACCTTTTAAAAAAAAAAAAATGCGCAATTATATTATCAAAACTATTTGGATCAGCACAAAAACAACAGTGACCAAACGGGCACCATAGCCTAGGAACGTCTGTGTGTTGATTTAAAATAGAGGCTCATAGAAGCAAAATTTATCAATAAAAGGGGTCCAGTGTAGAGTTTTAGCAAGTTGCTGCCACTGGATCACTACAAAAAAAAAAAAAAAAAAATTTCTTTGTCTTTTGTCTCTCGTTAATAGTTTTTGTTTGTCTTGTCCCCACGTCTCGATCGAACTCCAGACGAAACTAGAACCGAACCGGACTACCGTTCATACAGGCGACAACTGTCAAAATACAAGAAAATAGATTCACTGGTGTAAAAATCCCCGCATTTCTATACGTTCACCTGACCAATCAGACGCTGGTTCGCGTTTGACAGAAAATTTGTTCAAAAAAGGGGCCCCCTTTTCCTCTTAGTGAATGTCAATCGGCTTCAATCCCTCCGATGGCCACAGGTGTGACTAACGTTCGCATTGCGAAGCATTATCGCCAAAGGGCGTAAGGATATTATTAAAAAAAATCGTACACTCTTATCAACCCAAACATCATGACTCCAATACAACACGAAACCTTCAATCTTTATAACTGTATTGTACTAACTGTTTACTATTAAAGTTGGTTGACTCATTATAAATAAATCAAGCCAAATGCTCCAAATTCATCAGCTGCCATTTAGCAAATCTGAAAATTAAAAAATTGGCTAACGCCCACCCTCACGCACATAAGGATTAAATTCCGATGAAATTATGGAATTTGATTAAACCCCGGGTCCACCCAGAACATGTCTGGGTGTAGTTAATGCTAGTCCGGTCACTCAATTTGGCCGCGAATAAGGAGTGCACAGAAAATTAACTATTGACACGTTGTTTCATGACAATCTATGTGTATTTTTTAAATTGCAGTACAATTTATTCCTTTGCATATTGTATTATGTTTCCACATATAATGAATTGATGTTGAGAGTAACATGTGTAACATTAAACTAAACTGCAACAAACTCGAACTCCACGTTATCGTTTGTGGTCTCCTCGATCGATAGGTAGTTACTTTCTTGGTTGCTTTCACCATCTGGTGTATGTTCGCCGTTATTCGAATCATGTGGGATGGGTGATTGATACGCAGGACGATGAACTTCTTCAAGCTCATTTTGTTCGGGATAATCCAGGGTTGGTGTGTTACTATGGGTGAAGCTAATTTCAGCAGAACTCGACGAATCACCTTCGGTTTGGTTAATGGAATTTATCTGAGCCCCCCGACTTTCGACTGAAGGCTTTGCGTATGGTTTCAATCGTGGTCCACCTGTAATAAATTGAAAGTAGTTAGTTTACAATACGCAGTCAACTCCATACAACCCGATGTGGAGCTATACTGCCGATACTCGCGTATCAGCCGTATTTGGGTTTTCATCACCACTTTTGAGTTAACCTCAGGAATTGTGTCTTTTTTTTTATCTTACTTTCATAAACCACACTGAAAATGACAATTTGGTGTGGAGAAAACGTATTTTTTTCAAGTCATCCCAAGTAACATTGCTAGTTTTATCGTGGTTTTAAAGCATTCTATAAGTCTAAATCATGCATGATTTGTATAGTTTGGTCTACAAAACCCTCATAAAACCATAATTTATTAATAACCTTTTACTGAAAATCAGCTATATTTCTTTACTGGTCTTTCAGCAATTCAAAATTCTGACATTTGGCAGCATTTTGCTGATTAAACTATTAAATTCAGTAAATCGAATTTGTTTTCACTATATGAGCTTCCAGTTTCTGTAACAGATCGTTGATACAAATATACGAATAATAAAGATAAAATCTCCAGACTCTTTTCCAAGTATCATTCATTAAATATAACCAGTGTCCGAGCCAGTGTCCTTACCTACTTAATTTTATTGATTAGTAGTTTTCTCCCCTCTTCTCCTCCTGCGGTTTGACCGGTGGTGTATAGCGCCCATTACACATGTCAATATATTGACAATAAATTGACATACTGACAATATTATTGAAAAGGTGATATTGATGAAGATGATTGATGACAAGTATTGACGAAAAGCTGATTTTCATTTCACTTTGTCAATACTCAGAATATATTGACAAAAAAAAACAGTCAATTCTATCAATATCATCAATATACGAATATTCACAACATCAATGGCAATACGTTTGAAGCCTTTTAACCTCAATGTAATAAAGTCAATATTACTTGTCTTAATTTCCCCACACAAGAAACATGGATTAGCGGGTCAAAAGAGAAACGTCGTTACTGGACCTATGCACTGAAAAAAGTTTTCATATAGTTTCCATTGGAAACGCACATGATATTTTTCCAATAACAAAATTAATGATTTTTATCTGAAATTCAAATAACGTTCATACGATCACATGAATTGTATATGACAAATCACATAAACTTCATTGGACACATAAGGTTCATGTGATTTTGTGATGCGATTCCCAATTATGAGATCACATGAAAGTTAAGTGAAATTCTAATGGATATTTTCCATTGGAAATGTGATTTATTTTTTGAGTGTGGAAAATACTAACTACACACTGAATTCGGATAACCTGAGTCGGTAAAATTTCAAATTACCATCACTCGTAAGAAATCAATAAAATCGACACATTATCATTGAACGGTTTTAAATAGGTCCGTACAATTTCGTAATAAATTTCAAAATTGTTGAATTGGTTGGTACTAGAAATACTGAGAGGAAGAGATGGGCGGAGAGAATGTTTTGAGCCAAATGAACTGTCAAAATCTGAGCCAATCGAACATTCCTATTAGAATTTTTCCGAGGATTTCTTTTTCTTTCTAGAATAAATTTGAAAGTATTGCAATCGAACAGAAATTCAATCCCCTTAATGTTTTGTGTGCTTCTCAAATTCAACTAGGTTTTGGAACCAAAAACAATACAAAATGATCTTCGTTGGTTAATGAATGGCACCAGGAAATGTGCAAAATATTGCGATGCAATCAATTATTATTTTGCATGTAAATCGAATCAAAAATAAAAGTAATTTGAAATGCTAGCTTCTAGCTAGGGTTGCAAGATAATTTAGGAACAAATCCTTGCTGCCGTATTGTATTTTGTTTTCTCCGCCTATCACACCCTCTGAGTATTTCTAGTTGGTACTATCACAAACGAAGTTACAGACGACTTTCTCCGAAGAAATGAATTAAAATAATGTGGTTCTCTGTAATAGAATTTTAGTCCACCTTCCGCCCCTCACCGCCAGGTTCGCTAGTATTTTTGTTTTGAATTAATTCAAGTTGGTTTTGTGTGCAATGATCTGGCAACTCGTGTCCTTGCTTGTGTTGACGGGGTGCTGTTTTCTCACTCATCGAAGGAAATTTTGATTAGAGTGAGAAAGTAAGGAACAGTCAGCGCGGGAGCCGTGTGCGTTACTATAGGTGCGGCAGAAGGAATGTAGTCGACTCTGTCGTTCTCACGGTGTTCTTACGCATGATCCAACGTTTCGTCACACTAGATTATGCATAAGAACGTCGTGATAATGCAAGTGCTGGCTTGTTTCCTTCTGCCTCACCAATCACATTGATCACAGCACATACGATTCTCCGTCGGTTCGTGGTGCATTGTGCATTCTTTGTGCCATTGGCGTTGACGAGAGCTTTGTAACTCTTTACTCCTATGGAGAAATCTCATATGTATCTGTCAGTCTATGTGTGAAACATGGCGGACTTTTTTTTATTCTCTCACTCCAACGCAAAACCCCATAAGGAACTGTCAAAATGTGTGTGAAGAAACGTCACTTCGGGACTGGTGTCAAGGCGAATACCACCAGTCCAAACACTAGAAGTTTTGGAAGGTTCTCCCCGTTCTCCCTCAGTACCTGTAAGCAGTGTGATACCAGCTGACATTCGCATGGGTAGAGAAATCCGGAACATTTTCTCGCTTTTGAGCATCAACGTCAACCCGGTCTCGAATCGCATTTCCGCTTGAAGTGGCACCGTTGGCAGTAATCTATTGCGCCGTGGGAAAGACCTGCTTAGTGCACTAGTGCTGGAAAATTCTGCAAGTTCGTCATTAAAATTAAATCAACTTTTCTTCGCTGTAACGTACTCCGGATCAGACTCGCTGGTGGAACGTTTTCGTGGGACGGTTTTCGACCCAAAAAGCTTCATTTTGGACTGCTTTCCAAAAGATTTCTGGGCAGGCGTCTTGGGACGCACGATCTCCACCGAGGCATCCGTTAGCGTGTTCGTGTCGGAGCGGATGACCTGTTTGATCGGCTGCAATTCTACCATCGATTTTCGGCCCTGCTTTTTGTTTAACTTCACACGATAGTTGAAATCGAACACGGTCGACGATCCGGCGGAGGATGCTTCGTCTTCATTCTCCGAAGAAGTCAACGATTTGATCTTTTCCGAGCTGAGCTTCTCGAGCCTTACGACCGGTTTGACTCGAAGTAATTTTTCGACGGAAGTTCCTCGTGCCAGTGGAATCTTCTTGACCAGTTCCTCCAGACTGATTTCTTCGCTTCGAAGAAACGAACGAGGAAGAACTAGATGAAGACGTGGACAGCCGTCATTTCGACGTTGGTTTCTTTCGTGTAGAAACCAGATCGGAATCGCTGTCGTCACTGTCTATTGCGGTTCGTCTTTTCTGAGATTTGCGTTTGGTCGTCAATGCAACTGACTCTTCAGAATCTGAATCATCCGATTCAATCTGACGTCTGCCACTAGATCGGCCCCTAGAACTCCCCTCTCTGCTATCGTTACCGGCTTCCCCCATCTTGCTGCTTCCACTCTTCGGGAAGCCTCGGCTAGCTTCAAAACCGCTTCCGGCGTCTTTCGGACAATCGGACGACAAAAGGTGAAAACATAGTTCTTCGAGGGAACCTCCATGCACTGATCTTGGCGACAAGTCGAACCGCACGTTGCACAAAGGATCAGATCCCAACGCTTGCAATCGTCGTAATCTCGCCCATACCGACAGCGACACTCTTCAGCGTCACACTCCGAAGGACGTTCCAACTGATCGTTGAATACATTCGGTTTCAGCTCCCACGAGGCATCCCTCGAACAATTAAAATAAAATATTCAGTATTCAAATACCGATTCACCCACCTCCGCCGCTTCGCTTAATTTTCCGGAATATAAATGCCACGCTGATGGATCTGCTGACTAAAGTCGTCCTTGTTGCACAAAGGGCAATTGAAAAAGTACCTCGCCGATTGGGCAAACTGTGCCACGTAGCTCCGATGGAACCAGCCATTCTGACAGCACGGGTCACGAATCGATTCTAGCTTCCTGTACGGTCCCATATAATCGTAGCAAATCCCACAGGCTTCGGTCTCGGAGTGTTTCACCTTATCCACCAGCGCTACGTGCTTATCGCACCACGACTGGAACGTTTCCACGTAATGCGACAGGCACTCATTCTGCATCCCACAAAGCGTATGGAATGAACGGAAGCACTTCTTCGCGCAACACCAAACGTTTGCATACCGTTCCTTGCAGATGTAACACTTTTGTCCTCGGATACGAGCTTCCTCATTTCTGATGTCCTCCTCCATGAATCCGAAGATTCCCTCCTCGTCTTCAGGTAACAAGGTACACGTAGCAGGTATAATGACTAGTTTTGCCACGTCTAGTAGCCCGGTCCAGAATAGAGCATCGCACCATCGTACCGCAATCATGCTCAAACGCGTGACATACAGCATCTTTAGCCGAAATAAATAATAAATTGAACAAAATTGGTTTCATCCGATCCTCCTTCATTCTCACCATCTCACCTTCAGCACGTCGATCGATTCGATGGATTTCGGCATGATTTTGGAGTAAATTTTCCTTCTTCAGATCGCCCTCGTCGAGAGCTTTCAGTTCCTCTACGGAGGAGCACATGCATACCAAGTATGGCCACGAAATTACAATGATTTTTACGGTTGAATTTCGGGCACATTATAAATTTATTGTTAAATTATTGGACGGGTGAAAAAATAAATTTCGTTTTAAAAGATACAATTCTCAATGAAAATTAATTTGATGAGATCAAATTTGTTCGAGAAAAATCAGTTTTTTTATTGTTAAGATGCTTAACAACCCCCCTTTTTTACTGTACTTTTCTCATATACCATGATTTTCGTTTTGATTTTATGATAATCAACAAAAATCTCCATTCAAAATCATTGTATTTTTATTGGATTTTTTTACGGGCGGGTCCTGTTTGGCGTCCAACAACGATATCTTCTCGGTCGCGAATGACCATGGCTTTGGTTAGGAGCACCGACTGATGAAATCTTTAGCAACAATTGCCGCCAAAAAGCGCGAGTCATTGACAGCTCAACATCGTTTATTTGTAAGCAAATGTTAACCCGATGTGTTTACTCCTAATTATTTTGGCCTAAGGTCTTTCATTATACAAAAGAAGTGCAGATAACAATGAACACAACATAGTGACATGCAGTTTGACAACAGGCTCTCCCTTTCAATTTTCGTTAGAGAAAAAGAGATAACAGGCGGTGCCCCAATAGCATCAACTACTTTAAGCTAGTACATATGAGTAGATAGTGTTGCCGTGAGGTACACTCGAAAATTTCAAATGTAAGTGCGTCAAACCAAATTTCGAGCCGCTCCGTCTGTCACTTCGTTTGTGGTACTATCCTTTCACTCCACTGAAAGTTCCAATAAGAAACTGTCAATGTTTGTTAGAAGAGATGATTTCTCGACGGTTCCGTCAACGCCAATATCAAATGTTGTAACTTTTTGACAAGACACAGAAAATACACAGGACAACATGATAACAAATTAATGGAATTGAAGGAAATCGATTGTCGACTGCGTGGAATTACCACTCGTGTTGAATAACGCACGTTCATGGTATGCAGTTTCCCATAAATAAACTATTATGCTGATGTTTTGGTAAACATTCCTAAAGGAAGAACTTGCATATATTATTGAATTTGCGTTACGTATAGGCATGTGAAACGCAGATAGTATTTATTTTATTTTAAAGTAAAAAAAACAAAATTACATGATTGTGATTTTGTAGAAAATGAACATCGATATAGACGAAGCCTGGTAGTGATTGGCGACTGTAAAAAGATACTTTTTTAATTAGTTTGATATCCATTTTATATCACACACGAAGATTTAAACAAAATGCCAACACTGCATGCGTGAAGGTGCATTGTGAGTCAGTCGGTCTAAATGACGTACGTTCTCCCTCCTCTTGGGTAGGGGAAGAATATTGAGAAAGTGAAATGAAAATCAGTTTTCAACAATACTCGTCATCAAACCATCGTCATCAATTTTATCTTTCAATAATATTGTCAGTATGTCAATTTATTGTCAATATATTGACCTGTGTAACAAACGCTTTAGTGTATTGTCATTAATGTTGTCAATATTTATATATTGATTATATTGTAAGGAAAATTGACAATACGATGTTTGTCAATATATTGACATATGTAATGGGCGCTTATGAATGCAAAAATACTTGCGACTGTGATGCTAACAGTTTGACAGCTCTTTGACTGGGTGTTAGTTTATGCTAGCTGATTTTGACGGTTAAAAATATCGTTTGCTGTTTTTCAGTTGGATTGCTGATCATGATCCAATTCGGAAAAAAATTACAAGATTTAAAAAAAAAAATCTCCCATACCTCATCGTAAAGTAATTTTGAAACCATCATCATTTCGAAAGTTGTTGCTTTTGAGCACCAATGTTAAGGCCCACGCACATTAGATCCGACAGTTAGACAATAGATTTAGCTGTCAAGTTACCGCAACGCGTCATTCCGGATCTAATGTGGGTGGCCCATCAGCGTGAAATTTCAAAAGCACAAATGTCAGCTTCCACAAAAACTCACAAATACGAAATTGTTACTCCTTGTTTGCTGATCTACTACGAACTTTTTACCGCTACTACAGTAACTGTGCTCACGCTAAAGGCCCACGCACATTAGATCCGGATCGGACGCGTTTGCGGCAAAGTGACAGCTAAATCTATTGTCTAACTGTCAAATTTACGTCAACGCAACGCTAACGGATCTAATGTGGGTGGCCCTTAAGGCTTTCGTAGAGTATCATCTTAAAATCAAGAAGCTGAAGAAACTTACCCCCAATATAATCAGATTTCTTGAAATGGAGACTACACACTTTAGAATTGACCGTTGGTAGTTTAGTGCATTTCAAAATACGGATCCATTCTTTGAACCTGGTGTCACTCTGTGCCGGAAAACTGTGTAGCTTTATATTCCCTATTTTACGAGACCGGCATCCGTTAACGAAGCATATTCTGTTACTCCTTGATTTACAAGCGTGGACAGTGTAGTTGTGGATCGTACGATCAGGAAAGTTCAGCTTCTGGGGTAACCGAATTTGCCGTTGAATTTTTTTCGACGGAACAGCGTTAGATCGGGCCCTATCGGGCAGTATCGGGCCCTGCTCTGGGATTTGCAATGTAGGGATAGCATCTTGCTTCAGTTTTGTACGAGTATCTGTAATCACAGTATTGAATAATTAATATCGCGCTCTATTAAAGCAAATTATAACTTTTGTAAGTTTCTTACATGTAATAAAATCGTTTTTGGTAAAATGATCGGCACAAATTTTTTCTATCCGCTCTCCTGATAGGTTCACGATTTTTGTCCAACATTTGAAAACCTTATGTCCGGTCGACGGAACGGTGAAAAAATCGACACAATTTGCAGTTCCAAGCCGATTTTGACAAGTTGGAATGATGCATTTTTGCACTGGTTTCATATTTACAAATTTTGCTTTCTGAACTTGAAAAGATTAATGGTTTTTACGGTTTTTGCTTGGAAATTTTGAAATTAAATGTTATTATTTACGAGGTGTTTCAGCAGCTCTCAGCTGTTTACTGTTTGTATATGAATTGGACAGAATTCTCAACCCGATGTCAATGTCTGCCCCAACCAGCATATTGGTATTAGTGAAAACCAAAATTAACTATGTGAGGTCAATACTGGAATATTGCAGCATTGTATATGGTCTCCATTTTCAATCACGCATGAAAAAAGATAAGAATCAGTACAAAAGCAATTTCTATTAGGTATATGCCCTTCGTAAATTAAGTTGGACTTCATTTCCTCTTCCATCATATGGAGCACGCTGCATGCTTATAAACATACAAACATTAAAAGAGCGACGTGAATATGCAATGGTTTCGTTTGTAAACGATATCGTTTCGCAGCGCATTAACTCAGCAGAACTTTTATCAAAATTAAATTTTTATGCGCCAACTCGACAACTCAGAAATCGAAATTTACTTGCTATAACCCATCATCGCACAAATTATGCAAAATTTGGGCCATTAAATCGCATGATGGTGTCTTACAATCAATACTGCGAAACCATTGACTTTTCAATGTCTCGGCATAAACTAAAACAAATTTTAACTCCATACGGAATCATAACTCGTAAGAAGTAAAAATATAATAGCAAACATTTTTTTTAATATTCTTTAGAGAAACAAATTTGTATATGTATTTGTACTAGTCTACAATGTAGACTCTACATCGGTTGATGAAAATAAATAAATAAAAAAGGACTGCGCAATATGAAATATGTGGAAATTTTTAGTGGTGTTCGTATTTCATCGCAATGTTTATATTTTTACACGAAACAGCTGTTTTCTGTGACGACACGTCTGCTATTCGCAATATGTTGTGCTGTTGTGACATCGTCGCTTGCTCAGCAATGTTGCTTCTAATACCAGCATGCTGCCTGTTTTTCCAGACCTTGTATGATTGACATCGGTCTCGACCCACACGGAAACATTAATATAAATATTAAATGTTTTGCTATAAAAGCCTAACTTACTCGTCGAACTGGCTGCGTACAGTGCGTTTTAAATTTCTGTTTTAAATTGACCGCTTTATGTTTGGTGTGTCCTCAGATTTACTGTTGCCGTGTTTTTTTACTTAGAGGGGTTCGTGGGTTTTCCTATGTTTCGAGGGGTACATCGATTTGCTTGGGACCGAAGAGAGTACCAGAGCTGAGCCAAAAATTTGAGCACGTTTCTTCGGGACCTTCTGGGCTTAGAGTTACCTCTATGCTACTACCATAACTGAGGTAACTCTAAAACGCTGTCCAGACTGGAGAGTTATAACAACAATCAATACGAAACTAACGATTTTAAATTGGCTCACCACTTTAGTAGCCTATTGGTCCCAAGCAACCCTAATAAAAAATAACCATAAACGAACGATAACCCAAATCATTGAACTATTCCACAAATGGTTTGGATGATACCCAGAACACGTCGTTAAGCAAATTAACCATACAATTTTTATTAGGGAAACGATTAACGTACCCTATTCTAGTTGAAATTCTATTACTACACTATGTTTGTTTTGATTCGCTATGAAAGTTTGACAGATAACATCAGGGGTGTGTGGATTCATGCAGAACATGCAGGGGTGAGTGAAATAGCTTGGGACTGCTTGGGACCGTTGTTCTGGTACTGAGTGAGCCAAAAATAATAATGATTTTCTTCGGGACCCAGTGGTCTTAGAGTTACCTCTATGGTTATAACATGTTATAACGGTTGTCAAATAATTGCAACACGGAAACCACCATCAAGATAGCGCTATAACATGTTATAACTCTGTAGTCTGAACGTACTATAAGACCAGAAGGTCCCGAAAAAGCAAGCTCAACTTTTGGCTCAGCTCTGGTACTATCTTCGGTCCCAAGCTAATCGATTCACCCCTCGAAACATAGGAAAATCCACTAACCCCTCATTTTATCTGTCAAACTTTCATAGCGAATCAAAATAAACATAGTGTAGTAGTAGAATTTATACTAGAATGGGGTACGTTAATCGATTTGCTTGGGACTAATAGGCTAGCCAAGTAGTGAGCCAATTTAAAATCGTTAGTTTCGTATTGATTGTTGGTTTTACTGACTCGAGGTCGTTTCTTAAGCGGTTTTGGTGCAGGTTAAACCTTTGACGGCTGTCGCATTCAACGCTCCTACGTCTACGGAGCTTACGCAGAAGTGATTCGTAATTTGGTAGAGCTTGCCAAAAGTGTTTTGAGCGTATGTAGTATAAAATTTGTTCGGCACGCTCGCAAAATCTTGAAATGATTTATACGTTCTTTAAATTACCTAATTTGATACAAAGCTCAGTAGTAAATAAAAATATCTAGGGAGGAAACCAAAATTAATCAACTTGCCAACATAGGCTATCACATTTATTTTCGTGGCACTCTTTAAATGATAATAAGCCTTTTTCTCGCTTCGGTTGTCTCGCACGGCTTTCGGAATTCGCGCGGTTTTCGTAACCTACATAATTTAGATATTTCTCGAGTACTTTTTCAAATGGACGTAAGTGACTTTTGACACGATCTGAGAAAAACGGGTTTGATGTTTCATGCGGAAATGTTTAAATCTCATTTTAAAAATATTGGTTGAATTCCAATACCGTTTCCACATGCGAAACATTATTTTGACGCGCTATAATGTAGCGTTAAAATTTTACACGTTTGTTGCGTGTATCATACTGTTACTGAGAAATAATCTTCATACGCCCTTTTGCTTTCGCAACTATTACTTACGCTCCCTCAGATTCGTCGTTTTGACATTTATGTTGTGTGATACGTCAAGCCAGATAAGACTGTTTATAATTTCTAAAATCAGTTACGTCGTTAGGTTTTAGAAATTTGTGTGGCCTAAAAACATTGAAAACGGTGGACAAAAAGGTGAACAAAGTGGTGAACGCCTAAGCTTTTTCACATTTATATCACTGTGAAGTAACTGAGAAGTGTTGAGGGAATTTATACCTGTAATTGTAATCAGTTCATTTTTGCTTGCTAATCTGGTTAAAAAGTTGTACATAATTATCTTAAAGAGAAATCGTCCAGCTCAATCCTGTGTAGGGGTAAGCAGTGGGACCATCATCATCATCAACCACTCAAGTGCAGTTCAATCCTGGTCGAATTCGCCGGCAAAAATTTCGGTCAACATCCGGTTACTTCGACGACTGTCGGATTATCTTATTCGATGCTGCAATCAATAGTTTGTTATCTAAAAAAGATACAAGGGAACACAGACTGCACTTCCAATTCCTGCTGGACACAATAAAATCTGTCAGCCAACACTCCAATCACAGACAAACAGATGAAATAAAGAACAGAGTAAATCTAGATGAACAGAGCGTAATCGCATATCTTTAGCCGACCAATTATTGTGCATTTCATTCCAAACTGAACAAGAAATATTGCAACAAATAAAAAATTGTCAAATAAAATTAAAACATGTAACAAAAGTGCGCATTTCCGTCTAATCTTATTGATTTCTTCGATGCACTTATTCCTTTTGATGTAAGCAATAAGTGTTTAGAAGACACCAAAACGATATGACGGAAACGTGCTTTTTTTGTATTTTTGGGGTAGTCTAGTTTCAAATGCAATCAGCAATAAAACAGTATACATTCAGGTTTCGGAACCAACAGATTGTTGTGTTTAGTAAAATTATGTTGGTACAGTTAATGAGCATTATTTTATTTTCTCAGCATTTTCCTTTGACATATCGCTTTCATTATGACTTATTTTTTCTTAATCTCTTTCTGGCGGATCCATGTCACCTTCGAAATCATCCACTTGATTTGATTTGGGTTTTCGACCACGTTTCGATGGAACAAGAGACTTGAGAAAGGTTTGATAAAATTCCTTGTTTTTAACGAATGGTAGCAATGATTTGAGATCTGCCAATTTGGCGTCTGGCAACATGATGGGTTCATCTTCTATAGTGTTAAGTTTGATTTGTTCAAGCTCTACGCCGAAGATGATGTTCATGTGCTTGAATTCAGCATCCCCCACATCGTGCTTGTAAAGAACAGTTCCAGGACTATTGGTAGAGTAGCGGAAGACCATGATGTCGGTAATCTTAATTGATTCCCCAGTTTCATTCTTTTTAGGAATGCAATATCGGACCGACAAATCCTTTAAGGCATAGAAATCGCGTTGCTCCATCTCATCTACGTCAAATGGGACAGATCTTCTTATGGCAGAGATGAGCACTACCCAGTCGTGCGGTGTTTCAATATCGATTGTAGTTTTTTTCTTCGCTTTTTCGATGGCAGAATGCACAGTGTCTACCTCCATATGCGAATGGCCAGTGCGCATAAACTTATGTTCGATTATAAGTTCTCTGCCATCTCTTGCAGCAAGCTCGACATAGTAGGCAAACGTAAACACTACGGTCTTATTGAGGTTCTGACCTACGCAGCGGTCGCTGTAATACGTCACGTGGCGAATAGTAAGAGGCATCTTTTTAAGATCTCTAAGAAGGCAGGAAGCCACTTCCTGAGATCCTCTTTTGGCTTTTCTTTCATCCCACAACATGCAGGTAGCTGTATTTTTGTCGAGATAGGATGAAAAGAAAGTTAAATTGTACGTATACAATTGTCTCGCATAGAAAGCCTGTCCACAGCGAAGGTGCGGTGTTGGTAATTGCTTCTGCAAGTCAAAAGATACGGTTCGATATCTTGAATCCTCTTTGGTCTGCTTCCTATCTCTGCGCTTTTCCTCGTATACGCGCTGCGCTGCTTGTTGATGCATCTCGTGAGCAGCTGTCAAGGCGATCTTTGTAGGGCTGTCCAGTTCTCCTTTGAAAGCAATCCTGTATTTTTCACACTCCCCACACACATCCACTTTGGGCTTTCTGAATGACAAGTTCTTCTCTTTGAAAATGATCCGATAGGTATCGTAATGTACGGGTATCCACGAATTGTCCCTGCTGCATTTTTCTTGGTACAACTCATACATAACCTTAATGTTGAGATCACCCGACAGATACCGCTTTTCGGAACCCTCACGAGAGTAGTGGCTGGAGTAAGCAGGAAAGCTATCAATATGTTTTTGTATGTATTCGATGTGATCTTGGCTGACTTTTTTATTTGTGGAATTGAATGCCCGCTGATC